CACAGGATCACATAAAACACCAAAAGAAATTGTTTGGAACCACAAGATACCACAAGTAACAATTCTAGTGTGTGAAAACAATACTGAGGTGTGACTTCAATTATACTATAGAAATATAGTGTAATAGGCTGGCCAACATTGGAATACTATAGACAGGAAAACAAATGTAATAGAATAGAGGAACAAGATATAAAATACTGAGCTATACTCCGTTAATTTTTGGCAAAGGAAGCAATAACATATTTTGGTCAAAAAGCCTTTTCAACAAAGAATCATGAAAAAAACTGGATTTGCATTTGAAGGAAATGAAATTAGATTTTTCTTTACCTTATACAAAGATCAATTTTAATTGGATCACACCTTAATTCAAAACCTGAAACATGAAACTTTTAGAAGAAATCATAGAGAATAACTTTCTAGATATTGGGGTAGAGAGAATATTTTAATATAATGTCAACAACACAGGAACTTTCCCTAAGATCAATAGATAGAAGGAACTATATTAAAATAGGGTTTCTGTAGATGAAAAGAAATAGTCATAGAGTTAACAGACATCCAACAGAACTGGAGAAAATTTACTGGCTGTACTTCACACAAGGAGTGGACATTACACATTTATAATGTATTGAAGAATTTAAATACCAAGGAAATAAAGCTGCCAATGAACAAATGGACAAATAATATCAATTTAAGAGAAAAACAAAATTTGGCCAATAATAATTTACTTGAATTTCTTTTATTTTTAGTTTTAAAATTATTTTTCACTTTATATACTAACCTCAGTTCCTCCTCTCTCCCTTTCTCCTTTCCCTCATCCACTCACTAGAGTTCTTCAATTAAATTCCATTTATCCATGTGTCTGCTTTTATGCCAATACCAAGCTAGTTATATTACTGTAGCTCTACAAGAGAGTTTGAAGTGATGCCTCAGAGGTTCCTTTGTTGTACAGGATTGCTTGGCTATCCTGAGTATTTGCTGATATTTTTAATTTATAAAATATCCTTTACTATTAATGGATGCAAATTAAAAGTTCTTTGAGATATCACCTCACCCTACTCAGAATGACTACCATCAACAAATGTCAGAGATGGCAGGGACAAAAAAGAACCCTTATTTACTATTTGTGGGGTGAAAATTAATATAGTTATTATACACATAAGTTTGGATATTTCTCATAAATCATAAAGAACACTATATTATGCACTTGCTATTTCTTTCTTGGAAGTATATCCACAGAACTACTGCCTATCCTACAATAGAGATATTTGCATCCCCATGCATATTCACTACAGAAATGAATTGGAATCAACCTAGTTGTTTGTCAACAGATAAAAGGATGATGAACATTTTATACATATTTATGTGTGTGTATTGAGTTTTATTAATCTCTAAATTAATGAGTTTAAAAACTTTGCAGGAAAATGGAATGAAGCAAATTATATAGTATTAGTCAAGGTCACACAGAATCAGAAAGGAAGAAACAATAACACCCCGTCTCTCACATACGAAATCTATCTAAAAATACATAGATACATATATATCCACGTGATATAGTAAACCATGAACAGAACAACAAGAAGGACTAAGTATAGTATTAATTTGGACCAGAGAAAAAACTGAGTACAGGTAATAGATATGATGTAAAAAAAACATACGAAGCTTATAATTTCTCTAGTTTTAATTCTACCATGAAATTTGTTTGTTTTGCTGTAGTTTTGTTTTGTTTTGTTTGAGATAGAGACTGTCCACGTATGTCGCACCTGCTGAGCAGCCTGTATCCAAGAATGTGGCGAGGATTGATGACACAGGGACCGGTTGGTTGCGTTAAGAAAACTTTATGCTCCCCAAGTCGGCTTAGGAGAACTCCCCAAGAAAAAACGCTTCCCTTCAGAAAAAACTTCTGCCATCCATACATGCACAATTCTCCAACCAAGCTCTCATTCACCTCTCACAGCTCTCACAGACTTCTCACCCTCCTGACTGGTGGTTAAATATCCAGCACCAGAATCGGGGAGCAACAGCAGGGAGTAGGGAGGAGCAGCTAGCCATAGGCGGGATCAAAGTCATGGTGTTTCAGTGAGCAAGCCCTTATCGGAGCCCTATCAGGAGCTTTATGGTACTGAATTGTTTTCAGTAAACATACTTTCAGTAAACATTATCTCGCAGCTGCCTGCTCCCAGGGGTGGGTTTCTGAGCAATGTCTGGTGTCCCCACACATGTATAGCCCTGATTGTCCTGGAACTCACTCTGTAGACCAGGCTGGCCTCAATCTCACAGAGATTTGCCTGCCTCTGCCTTCTCAGTGCTGGGATTAAAGGCATGCACCACCACCACCACCACCCAGCTTTTGTTTGTTTGTTAATGGTGAATAAGTGCATAAAACATATTAAATGATGAAAGTACAAAAATTAATATGAAGTTCCATATCTTTCATTGTGAACAGAGCTCTTTCGTATTAGCATAATACCAGTACAAATACACCATATATCAACACTAGGATGCTTCTAATGCATAAGGCACTGAAAATGTGCATAACTATCTGTTATACTCTATTGTCTAGAGAATAGAGATGTGGAAAATGTCAGAATGTTCAATAAAAATAAAACCATAGTGCATCTAACTATATAGCACAGGTTAGCAGTAGTATCAATGCCACTTTTCCGCCAAATATTATCCACCTCACTCTGGTTGAATTCACAGAAAAACATTTCTATCATAAGAAGTCCTGTTCTATTCACTCTTGGTTCAAAAGCTGACTGTCCTAAAAGAAATTTCAGCAATGGAGCTTGTTAATAAGATGAAGTTAGACTCTTGCAACTTTATAGAGAGCTTCGCTTGACTGTGACTCCCCTCCCTGTCTTTCTTAAAGGAAGGATGGCAATGAGAGAATATTTGTGAAATTTTATTCTGGTTTCTGAAGAACCTTTCCATAGGATGATACAGGAGAGAAAGGAGGAGTAGAAGTAAAAAGGATTGTGCAATAATGGTTTATATTCATGCACACAGCAGAGGGAGGGCTTTGAGGTGAGAGTTCACAAAGAGCCTTGAGGACTGCATAATCACATGATGGTATCTATTGAAAAGTCTGAGATTCTAATGCTCATTTAAATGGTTTTTCCTGGAAGCTTCTAAGTGAATATTGTGATTTGAAACTTTTGAAATAGTTTCCTGGAAGGATAAACTTAGGTTGATGAGGCCATTGTGGTAGTAAAGTGACATTGGAGAAGACAGCGTAATGGTGCAGTCCAGTGATGTCAATGTAGACAATTTGCTGCGTGTTGTGCATAGTTCCAGTGATTCAAAGATGAATACACACAGTCACTGTCCTAAGCGTGCAGTAGAAAGTGAAGTACTACTGAATCTAAATAGGTTCATATTTACTTTTAAAGTACATGATTATTGAACAAAAAGTGTAAGGAAATGAAACCCAGATTCTACCAACATGAGAGATAATTCCTAACATTTTAAAGTCTGTATGCTCTGTATATAACAATTTAGTTTTTAGCATAAAAAATACATCAAATGAAATACTCACTTTAACCAAAGATGGTAAAAATCCTATCAATATGCTTACTCTCACCATTATTTTAAAATAATTTAAGAGTCTTTGAAGGACAGAAATGGTGAAACAAAGTTTAAAATAGTTTATTTTGATTTGAGACTGAAAACGTGATTAGTCTGCTGCTTAAAATAAAAGCAACAGATGTTTCAGGTTTGACAATTACAAAAACCATAGTGAGTTCTAATCAAGAACGAAGCAAAGAGTGAACAAGAAGGCCCAGTGCAGTGACTAACGCATATAGACAGCAAAACCTCTGGTACAAGGAAAATACACTGTAAAGATTATGCCTGCAACGATTAGTAAAAGATGAAGTGGAACTACTGATCAGAATTATGACTTGAGGTGGAAAGCATGAGTAAGGAAAGATGTGATTTAGAATATTCTGTGAGTGACAGCTCTGGGTGGCATGAGGAATGTTGAGTAGAAAAAAAGATGTATTAAGATCAGAAGGAATTGACACTGATATAAGAAAATAGAAAGAATGATCCCACATCAGTGTGTTGCTGTGCAATCTCATATGTGGCATGCAGCCTGATAGTTTGAAGTTTGTTTGTAAAATACAAAATGATATTTCTTTGAAGATACAGCCACTTGTAATATGAAAAGCTCACTGATTATTGTCTATTGCTCCTTTAAACTTTCCTTCAACATAAATCACAGAGTAGATTCCTTTATTGGATGGTTTTGCTTATGATAATTCCCCAGGTATTAAACACTAAACTGTGTCTGACCCAATATTTAAGGCAAATCTGAAAATCAGAATTTTGAAGACCCATTGAGTTTCATTTCTTGATTCATTTGAAGAACGATTGCATATCAACTGTCTCAACAGTTGAGCATGATAACAGTAATATCTGTTATTCTCAGAACTCTTTCTCATATAGAATTTTTGAATAATGACTTTAGTACCAGATGCCTGGGTATACAGAGTTCACTAAAACATGTTGCATGTGCATCATAGTATTCTTTCTGGTTTCTCAAAATCAGATGATTTTGCTTAGGACTATGTCAAAGTTCTACATCTCATTGTTGAGCTAGACCAAGAGCTCCAAGTCCAAAAGCTTAGTGAACCTCTCTGAACTAGTAATTCCCCCATAAAATGTCAAAGGACTAAGGGGTCAAAAATACACATTTATACACGATAACTTATCAATTATTACCATAGTCAGGTGGCAGAATATACTGATGAGATAACAAAATAGTAAAATGAAATGTATAACGATAGATGATTTTTAACATTTTACTTTTACTCTGAAAATATAAATAGATTCATGGTTATTTGAAACATATAACCACTTGTATATATGAAATATGAACTATATACAACCATGTGGATATTTTTATATGAATGCACACTGTAATAAATCTAGGAATTAGACCAAAGATGTTAACACTGGTAGCTTCTGGCAGCATAATGAGAATCTTTGCATTTAGATACCTTTAATTCTTTCCTTAGGCTTTTACGATTGAGATTTTCCCTCTTCTCCAATAATTTTTCACTGTTTTATTAGCAGATATTCAATATTTTAGTGAATCATCAGTTGAAGTTCTGCAAACATAAAAGAAAGGAAGGCTTTCAGTGACTATTGTCAACATGGAGAGGACACAGTTGCTCCTGTGCGTCTACAACTAGTCACGAAAGCATTATTCTAACTTCAACTGCAGTTTCCTGACTGAAGAGGGGGTAAAAATTGAACCAATTTTTCTGCCAATTCCATCAGAGAAAAGGTCATACTGAATTACCCAGGCAAAGTCCTGATTCCCTCTCTTCCTCAGGCGGTGGAAGAACGCTGGGCTGAAATCTAATCATCTGTAATATATAAGAAAGGATCACCAATGTACATTACATCCATAATAGCAATTCTTCCTGACTAAATAATGAGCCCTCTTCAGGTGACAGAGTCATCTGTCCTTCAAATATGATTTCTGGTATTATAGCATCTCCTTGGAAGCATTTATTCTCTAAAGTCAAAATGGACAAAAAACAATCAATCTCTTAATTACGCAATGCTCCTAAAACAGATACAATATAGGAATCAAAAACTGTTTCACTTCCAGGAATCCTTTTGGATGAAGCAGCTGGCTTCTTTCATTGAGAATCTGGGAGTGTAAAGTCAGTCTGTCTGCATTAATGCGCGTTAATCATGCATCTCCCATGCCTGTTTTGTTTAACCTTAGACAGTCATCATAAAACAACAGTGTATTAAAGGCTTTGTAAAATAAATTATAGTTTGGTTTTCATAGTTATTTGATGAAATAATTTATAAATGTAAAATATGTATCTTTACATGATCACTTGAAAGAATAGTGAAGTTTGTTTGGCTACAAATGATGAATATATAGATAATTTTTGTTCGTATTTTTACCAAGCAGTAATATCTAAGTAAACATTGCATATTTTCACAGACTGAGTATATATTATATATATAAGATGTGCATATATCATATGTATATATGTGAAATGTGAAATGTGTTTTATAATTAGGCAATAGATTAACTATTGGCAGTGATAGACAGGACAATCAGGAAGGCATACTATGAAAGTGATGAAAATTAATGCAATTGACATGTGACAGAGGTAGTACACACACACACTTGACTTGGATCTAGCTGCTAAGGAGAAAAAAAACAACATCCTTTGCAAAAAAAGTGAATGGAAAGTCTGCTAAGCAAAATAATCCAGACATGGAAAGACATATGTTGCATGCTTTGTCACATATAAAATCTATATTTAATCTGTATGATATGAAAAACTAGGGACTATAAGAGTGAAAAAAGATGTTAAGGATCAGGGACCATGGTTATATAATGGAGGGTGGGAAAGAAGGACAAAATATCGTGTATTCTCCCACTTGGAGTCTGAGATTTAGATCTCTCTGTTTCTCTCTGCATGTTATTTAAATGTGTTATTTATTTTTCTGTATATCTCTTTCTCTGTAAAAAAAAAACAGGGAAAAAAGGAGGTCTTTTGGATGGATGGGGGACGGTGGACAGTACGAAGACAGTAGAGGTAAACGGTAGCACAGACGATGCTATGAGAAAAGTACAATGAAACAAATACATGTATCAAGGTATCATAGTGAAACGCAGAATTTTTCCTTAAATTTAAAACAATGAATTATGAAGAAATTAAACCTAAAGGGGGAGGTGAAAGATCCCAGTGTTTGGGACAAGAAGCTCTTTTTTCCCAAATCTACTAAATCCTTTTAGTTCCATTTACTTTTTAAGGAACTTAAGTCTCCTAGGACAAGATGGGGAGTGGGTGGATTGTGATTTAAAGAACTGCTATCAATAATGGAGTAAGAGGAAACCATTTCAGTGAATAAATCCAGGGGTCAGATAAACAGGAAAAAGAGTGTGTCATGTCCTGACTGCCATGTCGTAATTATGTCTAAGGACTTAGGAATGCCTATCGCATTTCAGATACTATTTCAGTCATGTCTAAATGTCAAATTTTAGAGTGCAGAGTGAGACTTAGTATGCATTCCTACGATTCTCTTCACAAACAATGTGAGTCATGTTACACAGCTAGGAAGAGACTTTATACTCTGGGCAGCCTAGCTTCAGTCCCAGGTCTCAGCCCCTATGCTGCATTGTAAGTGCCGTTCCTTGGGAAGGCTAAAAATTGGTTTTCCTTCTCTCACTGAAGCACTCACTTCACCCATGTCTCAAACTGAGCCACTCTCAAAATTGTCAGTCTAGCACTTTTGAATGCATGCTCTTCCCCCAGTGACTCATGTAGCACATGCCTAGGGGAAAACCTCTGTAATTCCTTTTTTACCTGTGTTGATCTAACTAAAAAGACTGTGAATATAAGATGAGATTGAATTTCAATCCCATTCAATTTTTATTCACTTCAGAAAATCTCCATATGAGAACAAGGTTAAAGAATTCAGACCTGCCCCTCATACTGTGGACCCTGGTGTTGGAAGGTAGAAGTCTACAGGGCCTATGTTGACTGGTTGACTGTGATTCTTCTGACACTGCTGTGGAAGAGCTTGGTCTGCCTGCTTCATATGTACTAATTTCTCATTTGCATATATGACTATAGTTCCTTTTCCTTTGAGAATTAATGATAACATGGCAGACTGCATATTATCAGACTCAATATGTACCATTTATACTCCCCAACCAGTTAATAACATCATTATTTACTTACACAAACCTTCCTCACACTTCAGGGAGAAGGCCATCATCAATTCTACCTTTGGTACAATAAATAAACAGGATGAAGTGTCTTATTCTATTATCTATTGTCTTCATAGCAAAGATGGTAGGAAATAGTCTTTTAAAATTATTCAAGGGTTTTAGAACTCAACCAAACTTAGTTATTCTCTAAATTTGTAGACTGTACCTTCTGGAGTCAACTTATGTTCACAGCTTAGATGTGTACAGAGTTATACAAGTTCAGCACTATTGCATAAAGACAACTGCTGGGAGCTTTGGTATTTGACTTAAAAGAATGTGTGTGGCAGGAGGGCTAGCTAGCAGGAAGGGCATGGAAACCTGATGTCAGATGTTCAGGATTTAGTAAATTTCAACATGGTAGCATGCACTGGTAATCTCAGCCTTTGCATGGCTATATGAGAGGAAGACCACAGAAAACATTCAAGAAGCTTGTAGCCCAGCTACCATGTAACTTAGCACTAAATACAAGATAGTCTCAGAGTAGAAGCATGAACCAACTCCCAAGGCTGTCATCTAACCTCAATGTGTATACTATGACCAGTGTGGGAAGACACACAGAGACACTCACACACATAAACAATTAAAAGATTTTTTTATTGATTTTGGGGACATGAGAAATGGTTCAGCTTTTATATACTCTCAGTGTATATATCAAATGTCTCACAAACACCAGAAACTCCAACTCTGGGGAATAAATCTTTTGCCCTGTTTTGGATCCAATGGGCATTTGTACAAATGATGTTTATGCAAACACATACACATGAATCAAAAAGACATAAGAAAAACGAGATGTATTATGCTGGCTGCTTTTATGTCAACTTGGACACATGTTAGTCATCAGAGTGGAGGGAAACTCAGTTGACAAAATTCCTCTTCACCATCAGGCTTCAGAACCAGGTGGTATTGGTGTACATCTTTAATCTCATCACTCTTCAGAGGCACATGGAGATAGAGCAATTTGTGGAAGTGCAGCTTTATTTTCTTACACATTGCAGTTCATTGAGAGAAACCAAGGAACTTCCACAAATTGCTTTGTTCATGGTGTTGCATCATGGCAATAGAAAACCTAAGACATGTTTCTCTGTATATCTTTGGTGTGACAGGGTTCTATAACCCTTTAATAGTTTTAAAGCTATATCTCCATATATTTTTGTAAGGTATGAAGTCAATGATTCTAAGAATGAAAGGCTTTATATGTTTTATTTCTTGTACAAACTTTGGGTCTGGTTAATTTTGAAAGTGGTATTATTTTTTCAAATTTGTTTTTAATAATAGAATTGAGTTCTTAAAAGATGCAGAAAAAAATAAGTTTTGGTAAAAAGAAATGCCAAACTAAAACAACTGCCTTAGAGTATTGAGAATCATATTATAATACTCTCCTTTTTTATAATCCTTTAAATAAAATTTCAGGGTGGGAGAAGTGCTTTGGTGACTGAAGGCTGAGGACTATTATTGGCCCTCCTGTCACAGTGTCTCTCCAAGGTATTTAAGAAGCCCTGCAAGTCTGCTCTCCAAACACTTTGTAGTCTGGCTCAGCGGGCTCTTACCCTTCTGTGCAGGTTGGCCTCTCTCTCCGGTGGCTGCACTGTTTTTTCGGCTGTCGTTTTTTATTGAAAAATAAAAGCTAAATTGGAGTTTCAGAATACCTTCCATTTAACTCCTTTGATAAAACAGGAAAGATAAAAGCAACCAAGTCACAAGAGATGTGTTTTTGAAAGCTGTGCCTTGGATATCAGAGATGCAGAAATAAAAGGCTGCTTCAAAAATAGAGCCCACTGGCCTCACTTTGGCCTGCTGCAGCTCTTCCCTGCACTAGACCTGCTTTTAGCTTTAATTTTTTATTCAAGAAGTTAAATGGGAGATTTGAAATAGTTTGGATCAAATATAACAGCAATTGAAAAGTGGCCATCAGATCATTCTTTTAAATTCATTATTCTTACATACCTGGGCCAGAAGACTTTGTCAAGCAAATTTGTTGCACATCTCTTGAAAAGGGTCACATTATTCATATTATTTTTCTTTCCATCGAAAGCACTTGACCAGTCCTATCAAATAGTAAGGATTTGGCAATGGAGCCTACTTCACAAGCACACTACCATATGTGGAATGAAAAACCTTAAAGTAAAACACATAACACTTACTGATTTTGAATTTTTAAATATATTCCATTGAACTGTTAAATTTAAATTTCTGTTGTAGGAGTTTTAGGATTCTGATATTCATTTGTATTGCTAATATCATTTCAAAGTATTTACTTGAAAAGGCATTCCAGTAATTCTATGGTTACAGCTCAGTTGCCTAATCATTGAATGATAAACCTACAAAAGGAAAATCAGTAACTTTAATAAATAACAATAAGTAAAACAAGATTTGTCAAATATATATGAGCATTTAAGATAGCATCCTACAAGAGTGTGGATCTGTTACTACACTAAAATTTATACCTGTAAAGAAGATGGAAGGGAGAGGAAAATGACTGGGTAAAGCAAAGATATTTGCTTTGGAAGAAAGCAATTTGATTTGGAAGAAAATCTTGATTTTACTCATAGATCACTTTGATCCACATTGTTCAGTAACTGTATGGTTTTATTTTCTTGTTCCTTAAATTTCAACTTATCGATAAT